GAAACATTTTTTTAAAAGTAAAAAAGCACTGCTTAAGAGGCTACCCTTGGTGGACCTTCTAATTTGTAATAGGGCTCTTGGGAGGCGGTGGTCTCTGAGAGATATCAAGCCAAAAAATCTCTAGGATATAAAACACCATCTTGTGGCTGTAGAACAACAGGGAGCTGGTGAAGACATTGGAGCAAAATGGAAGTTTTCAAAAGCAATAACAATGATGGGCGGATGAGCTTCAGTCTGTGGCATATTAAAAACTCAGAATGAGCACTTTCCACATTTGCTTAGCCTTAGTATTAAGTGTCAACCACTATATTAATCCCCCCTTTAGCTATGCTAGCATTTTACATAATATTAATGATTCGGTATATTTTAATACCAGATATTGATTTTGTTCCAGGTTGCTATGCTGGGATTATTATTAAAATGCTATGCTGTTTCATCATTAGATGGATGTTAATCAACTTCTATTGTTGCTTGTGCAAACATAAAAGCAAATTTAATTGCTGTGGGTGGGGAGGCCTGTCCCCTCAAAACCCTCTTTGTCTCCAATACTTGTGCTGCTCACTTCCTACCCTTAACAGCACAAAGGAATCTTTGTGAAAAGCAAATACACAAATTGGTTGTGATCATGACAAAGCCAGATTCATTGGTGGGTATAAAATAAGCGAGTTTTCCTCAGGACTCTGGCAGCAATGCACAGATAAGGAACTAATTCAGTCAAAACAAATCTTTCACTCACAATGTAGACTGAAAAGAGAGGTCGCAACGTTTAGTATAGGAAAAGGAGGCAACTTGTTAAATCTAATACATAGCAAGAAGAAAACATTCAAGGATGTAATACACCAGGATGAAAACAAACCACATCTACATAGCAACAGTTGATCCGAGAGCGCCCTCTTCTGCTCTCGAGAGAAAATTGTTGTTTCTTTTTGAGGCAAATATTGATGAAACATCATTATTTATTAGGTGTGTTTTCCCCAAAAGTCTTGCCATTGGGGGATGGGGGACAGACAGGCACGCAATTCACAATGCACTGGTAATCGAGAGACTGGATTATACCACTTAATGCAGCAAGGGGAGATGTGTTCATATAGATTCATAGAACTGTAGAATTGGAAAGGACCACAAGATTCCTCTAGTCCAACTCCTTGCAATGCAGAAATCTTTTGGCCAACATGGGGCTCGAACCCAGACCCTGAGATTAATAGTCATGTTCCATTGAATGCCTCTCCATTTTATTTTTATTTAAATCCATTTAGAAGACTAGCTGTCAGTAAGAAGGCTTGCCTAATACCTCCCTCATTAACATGCTAGTTTTCTATGTGAGGGATTCATGTATGTGTGAAGGAACATTCAACAACTTGGGAGTCTGAAGTATTGCTGCCCATACATTTAGTTTTTTAACCACCTCAGTGAAAATTCAGCCGAAACTGGTCCTGAATGTGAAATTCTACTTTATTTATTTAGTTTGTTTACATTATTTATTAGCTGCTCTTCAGCCAAAGCTGTCAGGGTAGCTTATGAATAAAAACATTAACATGACTATTAAAAAACAACAACACATTTCAGAAGACAGTTCAAATTGTCACTTCCTTGACACTTCCCTTGTTCTGCTTGTTTCAGACAAAAACACGCTGCCCAATCTTCTGCTACCCAGCAGTACATGTGGGCTCCCATTTGGCTCCTCTTTCCCTATCTGTGGTCTAAAGCACTGAGCCTCTTGGGCTTGCTGACCAGAAGGTCGGTGGTTTGAATCCCTGCGATGGAGTGAGCTCCTGTTGCTCTGTCCCAGCTTCTGCCAACCTAGCAGTTCGAAAGCATACCAGAGCAAGTAGATAAATGGGTATTGCTGTGGCGGGAAGGTAAAGGGCATTTCCGTGCGCTCTGGCATTCATCCCGGTGTCCCAGAAGTGGTTTAGTCATGCTGGCCACATGACCCGGAAAGCTGTCTGTGGACAAACGCCGACTCCCTAGGCCTAAAAGCGCTGCAACCCCATAGATGAGCGCTGCAACCCCGTAGTCGCCTTTGACTGGACTGAACCATCCAGGGGTTCTTTACTTTTACCTTTAACCTTTTCTAGCCTAATCTCATTCTGGCTACATTTCTTATTATAGTCACCATGAAATAGCAACGCTCTGCCCACCTCTATCTTTATGTGCCTAAGCTACAGCTGATATTGATTGTATGCCTGTGCTTTCGCATCGTGCTGTTGATCTAGATTCATTGGTATAGATTTTTCCTTCAAAACACAATAGAGTGTATTATGGCACCTTAAATAAGCAGATTTATTGTGACATAAGATTTATAAACTACAGTCCATCAGAAATAACTTTTCTTTTTTGTTTCGGCTTTACGTACAGCTCTGCTTCATTGATCACTGTACATTTGTAGTCCACCTGTCAGTACGCCATGCCTTCTGTACATGTGAATGTATAGGAATCTGGTTCCTTTGATTAGTATATTATGCCACATATTGCTTTTTCTAACACAGGAGATTTATACTGGTATCAGAAAAAGAGAGTGATTGAAACATGAGCAGCCATGCATGATTTTCCCTGGGTACGAAGCCCAGTCTATAGATGGAATGGTGCAGACACAGCCTTTTCACACACAAGGCATTCTCCATAGGAGAAAAATTAGCACATGCAACAGCCCTCTGTATACTGGATCCATCAGATTTCCTTGTAAAAGTGGCGACACAAATTCTTACATTTCTTTGCAGATAAGAACACAACTATTATATCATCCCCATGCAGCACAGTAAGGAGATCATCTTTCAATTATTCACCAATGATACTGCAATAATTAATTCATGGAACAACCCGTTTAATTAGCCACGCATATTTTCTTCTGTTCACAGCAAGACATTCTTCATGGGAAACCCCACAAGATGGCTTGAATTGTCTCCTGGTGTTAAGCTGATCCTACAAGTGTTGCCTTTTTAGGGATAGCAATGTGCTAAGCTTATCAAAAAATATATTAATAATTAACCCGGTTACCTCAATAACACAGCTAGAATATTCAGTGTATCCGCTGTAATATTTTGAGTATGAAGTGATTGGAACAGAGTGGACTGAAAAGTAACTCTGAAAAGTATTTAAAATTATTAACTTGTTCTTTTACAGGTCTTTCCAGGCAACCTGCTATAACTATATATTCCTTTAACACCCCTGTTTGACAAGATCTCTTGCAAGTTTTTAGAATTCAGGTGATGTACTGCACTAATGTAAGGTGTGTAAGAAAACACTCAGTGCTGGATTATTTTTTTTAGGCAGGTTATTGGAAATGCACAAGCAGAATTAAGATGACAATACTATCTCACAGGGTTATTGTAAGACTAAAATGGAGGGTTGAGAACCAGTGTTATGTCACCTTGAGCTCCTGGCAGGAAAGGTGGATTTATACATATAATAATAAGTTTTTAAAATAACAATTTTTAAAGCCTGTTGCAGCAAAGTCTTGAGGAAACTTAAAAGGTGAACAAATACATCATAGCATTTTGTGGACCAGAGTCAATAAGATGCTAGGGTTAAATAAGCATTTTACCAGCAGCCTCCATTGGCTTTCTTGGAGAAGGATAGAAAGCCAATATGTGAAATTCTATTAATTACCTGAAACTTTATTCCTACTAATTATATAATGGTAGTTAAAATAATAGGTAGTTAAAATTATAGGATGCACCAAAGCACCCATTTTTGACCCTCTTCATTTCAGGGCATGAATTTAGTTGGTAGTGCTTACTACTTCCTTCCAAAGACATACTGGTGATCTAAAAAGCAAATATTTATTATTAAGGGAGGGACCCCTTGAAAATCAATAAAGGCAATGCACAGTAAAACTGCTACCCTATTCAAACCTACTTGTAAGTAAGTCTCGTTGAATTCCATGGAACTTATTCCCATATAAGTGAATACAGGATTGCAATTTAAATCACTCGATCTGATAATGTATATCTTTTAAAATAATGTTGAAAAGTATTTCTGGTTCAAGAGATGCCATGGTCTGAATATATACAGTGTGTATGGAGAGAGAGAGAGAGAGAGAGAGAAATTACAACAGTTTCTTAGTAATCCTATCAACATTGTGACAATGTTTATTTTGTTAACTGCTCCATCTAAATTGTTTTGGAGGACATGCCAGCCTTCCTCCAGAGTTGTCCTAAATAGAGAGGTTTTCCCATCTAAAGCCACCCACACATCCAACCAAGAAGACAGCACAGTCAATTGCCTCCATCAATAGTGTATAAAAGGAAGGGGCCCAACAAATGTGCCAATAATTATTCTAATATTTTCTTCCACTTGATAGGGTGGGCATTTCAAGGTTACAGAAAACAATGGTGGTGGTGTCTTGAGTGCTGTATGGACAGAGGCAGCCCTTGAGGTATTGCGGTCCTGAGTCTTGGCCTAGTGGTTGTTGGGTTTTTTTGCTCCAAGCCATGATGATATGCCAAGGCTTGTTCTTGGCTTACCTATCATGGTTTCCTTGAGCAAAGCAAACAGTGACCACCAAGCTGAATATAACAATGATCCAGGGATTGTGGTTTGCTACCTCTGGTTGCTAATGTGGAGGGGAAAACAGCCATGGTAAATTGTTAACTATTGTTTACTTTGACATGTGAACTGGGCCTGCAAGCATGGGGACTGAGACCACCAGACTTAAAATCCCAGTAAAGAAAAGATGCGAGCTTAAGCCTTGTGGAGACTACATCTGGGAAAGGCATCCATTTTTAGTGTCTTCTCCGCCAAAAGCCATCACAGAATTATTCCAAATATTCATTAAAAATAAGTCTCTTGAAACCTGAAGTAGTTTTCTACAAGGATTTAGTGTGAAATTCCGTATTCTGCTGGTTGCATTCATAAGTTCAAACTTTAACATAGTGATTTTTACTGTTTTGTGAAAACATTTAATTGGCACTGATAGAGCTTTGTTACATAACATCCTTGAAAGTCTATGCATTACTGACAATGCCAAAGGCAATAAGATATTGAAACTAACCAGGTGGCATTGGGGCAGGATAATGCTTCCTTCTTGTTTTAATTTTCAAACATATTAATCATCACAGCCTCACACTAGTGTTATGCCAATTTCAATTTTACAAAGCTTTACAGGTAGTTAAAAAAAGTGTTGTGCCATTCAGTAAATGTTACGAACAATAGGAAAATGCATGCTAAAAATGAGGTCAATTTAAAAAATACAATCATTTAACAGATGACCAGCAATAGATTTTTATACTACAGTAGTCTTAACAGGTGGACAGTAATTTAACCAGAAACTCAACAGAAAAACTACTCAATAAAATGACAGTCTTCTTTTGATATTGTAATGCCCTGCAGAGTAAAATCTTTTCCCTGACATAACTCTGTGCACCTATTCCCCTTTGCTACACTTGCCACACTATTCCATGAGAGGTTTTCAAAAGCTTAGAAATACAAATAATAAACCCAGTAAAAAACATTTATTATGATAAATGATAATGGGAAGGAAAGTCGGGCATAATTGTCTATGTGGTATGGGTTTTTAACATGAAAGCAGTCAAATATACAGAAGAGTCTCTTCATCACTGCCATTGGTGAGTGACACCGGCTGTGTTTGCTTTTCTCCTCTTTTCTGCCTCTAGAGGCTTTGGTGAGCTTGTCTGCCTCAGCCTTGTTAATCTTATCAGCCTTGCAACTGTTGGCAATTGCTGACAGAACTCCATTGATCTCCTCTTCAGCCTCGTCATCCTCCTCCTGGTAAGAATCACAATTGGACAAAACCACTTGTTCATCAGTTCCATAACACACATCCTTTAAATATCAACCAACAATCCATTTTATCTAAGGGCTACAGATATACCAGTGCTTGAAACAAAACTAGTTCAGTTTAATAAAGTTCAATGAATTCAACCGCTGAACTACACCTGAAACTAGTGCCCATATTTGCCAGCTGAATGGAACATGAATGACATTTGTTTTGGGGCAGAATGATTTCTAGGTCATCTTCAAATTCATTCTCTTACATATGCATTTTTTTCTTCTTCGCTCTTTAGACTTTTTGGGACTTGAAGCTTAAAGATTGTAATTGTGGGGGAAAGTAAATGAAAACCATTCACATTTGTCAGATGCTGTGGTGGTTGCTCGTGAGTCTTTTACAGGTTTTATTGTGCAAACTATTTACAGTGCAGATCTACCAAGTTCATGTCCGTCTCAGTGACTTGCAGAATCCTGGAGTGGCCCCTTCCGGCTTCTCCCCCAACATAAGAACTTCAGCACCCCAAGTCTCCTCCTCCCCTCCTTGCTTTTCACCCCTCTGTGCAAGCTGGGCGACGGAAGTGGCGTGGCTCCCTCCTGGCCAGCCTGGCGAGGTGATGTGCTGGGGCTCTTAGCAGCATCCTTGAGCCCTCTCTTCGCTTGGCTGGCCCCTTCCCTCTCTTCCTCACTGGAGGTGTGGCTTTTCTCACCGCTGGAAGAGGAACTGCTCCTCAGGAGTTTCGGAGGCTCTCTGTATCCCAACGGCCCCCCTGCCTCCCTTCCCTGTTCAGATGGCAGTCCCCTGACAACATTCCACTGTGTGTGTTTAAATGTTTTCTTAGGCTTCTTAAGAAAAAAAACTACACTTCAGATCAGCAGGTTTTCTGGGCACAGTGGTAGAGTGGATAAGGACAAATAAGCTGGGTTTGAACCTTCCCCACAAGGACTTCTCCATGCACATTGATGAAAAAGGCAAATCTACATGTGCTTTACCAAAAAAGGGGGGTCTTTTCTTTGTATTTGACATGAAGGAAACAATTCACATCTACAATGACCTTTGATGTTCTGGGAATCTCATCTTAGTCATGGCAACTAGGTTTTCGATCTGGCCAGATCTGCCCTTGGCTATTTAATTCTGCATTTTATTCACTAATCTTCTCAACATTAAAGTGGATCAGCTTCACTTGCGACTTTCCATTACAGCATAAACAATAATGTTTACATTGCTTAGACACTGGCGCCGTTACTTAGAAAATAAAAATACAAAATGCTAAGGGAAGCAACCTCCTTATCACTCATTGTAAACAGAAATGGTACAGATGATCATCTATAAACTTTTATGGACGCATCTACCTGGGCTGTTTTTCTTTTTTAGAGTGCTTTTTTTCAGTTGGAGGTATCTGGGGTTTTTTATGCTGAAATGATTTTTTTTTTATAAAAAAAAATTGTATTAAGCAGCAGGTTTATTGCGCAGCGGGAAAGGATGCTAAACACACATTCTTTTTTCTTTTCTGGTTTTCTGAAACTTGTTTGCAGGTGGCTGATGCTTTATCAGATTGCTTTTAGCTCCTTTATGTTCCCTAAGAGGAAGCTAAACCATGTGTGAAATCCAGCATCTGGCATGGCAAGTTATCAGCTTAGTGTCTGTATGTTAGAATATGCTCTTCTCTAAGGAACCTTAACAAGACACGTTTCTAGCACAAGTTTACTTATCCTATTGCCCTAGCGAAGAGAAGAAAGAGAATCTATAATAGAATGACAAATACCTATCTGCTATACAAAATCTAGAGTATCAGGGGACATTTAAAGGACTGCTGAGGGGCTCTGAGAGAGAGAAGGGGGGAAATTAAACTGTTTCACATTATGAAAACCAACCTTGCATATCAAAAGGGAGCTCAACTTTGGAGCGTATTTTTAAATAGTAATGCTATTTACTCTGCTCTCCGTTCCTGCTCCTAAGGAGAGAATAGCAAGCAGATGGCAATATAAAAGGATATAAAAATCCGTTGCAGGATCTATGGAAAGCAACTGCACAACAGCTGAAACCTACTGGAAATTGCATCTGCTGCTGCCTCTTGCGTCTATTAATGGATGTGTTTGTTCAAATCCAACAGTCCACAGGATGGAGAAAAGAGGTCGCTTTGGTGGGAAGTTATCCATTCTCATGATTTTCTATATTGTACTGCCTACTAGAGAGCGCCACAACATTTATCAGGGATGGGAATGTGACTTGTCGGTAAGGGCTCTACACTTCTTACAAACATTTTCCCATTCTTCTTTTTGTCCGCTGTAAGATTTTGGATGGTGCAGGCCAATGAATTGCTAGCAGCTAGAATATATTTCTCAGTTCAGGTCCTTGGGACATTTGAGGATTCGTGTAGCACTGAATACATGTTCCTCTTTCTTTCCTTTCTACCTTCTTTCGCTCTGGATGACTGAAGCACAACATAAAGGCACGATGGCATTTCACATTGCACGGTGGCACATAGCAGTGCTAAAGTCCTTACTGGTAGCAGAACAGTGTATATTCAAACCTCTCAGGGCCCATTCAAACTTTACAGGGCAATCAACATTGTTACTTGTCAGCTGTAGTTCTCTCAGTAAAGACCTGTAAGACCAGACGTGTGCCTGTAAGCACACTTGTCTACCATGTCTGCTAGTTCGCTTAGAAAAGTATCCCCCACAAAGCCCCAAAGGATTCACCAGGAGACCTGGAGGTGCCATGTGGCAAACACAGAGGTTGCTGTCACCAACACCTGATCTACCTGTGCAAAACAATGAACCAAGGCAGTTCAGGAAGGGTGGTGCCAGTTTTCATTGCACTGAGCTTCCTGCCAGTAACAAACTGGGGAGAGATATTCTACCTGAGTCTAAGCCCTGCTGTGCTGGTTTTTCATCTACAAAACCTTTTTTTTTACATCAAGAAACATTCAGAAATGTGATGTCCCACCACAGTCTGAAATGACACTCTGTTCTACCATGCCATTCTGTTTCATGCTGGATCAAGACCATTGTGCTCCTGAACCACACAATAGTCACAATAAGACCATGATAGGGGATATATTTATTTCAGCATTTTTACACCGCTTTGGGGGCACAGAAAGGGCCTCAATGCAATAATGAGCAATAAATAAATAACACAAATTAATACCAGACATCAGCTATCATTAGCAGCAGCACATAAAAAGCTCTCTGATCAGGAGATGAGACAATATTAATCATAAAGACAATCTTTCAAGGTCTTTCTGAGCATTGAAAGGCAATTGGTCCTTTATACCCACCAACTGCTGATGGTTTACAGGGCAGAGCTTACCCTGATGATCTCACCTAGCATTCTTTTAAAAGTGCTGGGTCCAAGCCATATAGGATTTCAAAGTGATGGTCACCACTTTGAATTGAGACCGGAAAGAAATTGGGAACCAATCTGCAGTGAATAATAGCAGAAGCAAGGCAAAACCTGGTCATGCTACAGCAGGCAGGGAATGTATGTTGTAAAGAGCTGCTAAAAGTTGGAATCATGATATGCTTTCATATCATGGACAATGGACAGGAGGGTTTGAAGAGAGGCTATGGAAATTAGTAAATGGAGGAATTAAAACAAAACAAATACCTTTGTGAGTTTCTTCATTCCAGATCGATTAAGGGTGCAGAAGTGAGCTACTGCGTACTCCAGTAATGCGCCAAAGATAAAACTAAAGCAAATACCCAGGTAGACATCAATTGCCTTGATGAAGCAATTAGCATTAGGAAGTGATGTCCTGGCTCCCATCATAAGAGTTGTCATGGTGAGCACAGTTGTAACACCTACAGAAACAAAACGAGAAATCAGAGGTGATCTTCCATGATTAGCAGCAACACCATCTCCTGCTGCCTCTGAGCAGAAACTGCTCAATATTTACTTGACAGTGAGGTCTTCTGTCATCTCATTTTGACCCACCTCATTTGGAAGAAAATGCAGAAAATGTTTAACGTATGAAAATTTTGAGGTGTTATTAATACTTTGGATAAAGTTTACGGTAAAGTTCTGCACCATGGTCAAAAAGGAGCAGAGTAAAAAAAAAGTAAGAAGTGAGGGTAAGAGATGTCTGAATTACTCTCTAAGTTAGTCTTGGAGAAACGATGTATGACATTGTGAATTAATTTTGGTGGTGAAAGGGAATACAAAGCCACCCAGTGAGCTTCATGCCAAGTGGGGATTGAACCCTGCTCTCCGAAGTCCTAGTCTGACACTGACCACTATACCGCACTTCTTTTCACATGAGCCACCATAACATGTAGACAGGCTTGGTGAGCACATGTTTTTCCATGTAGAAAGCCCCAAGTTCAACCCTTGAATTCTCTGGTTAAAGAATCTTTGATAGCAGGTGGCTGTAAAATCTCTCTCTCTCTGATCCTGGAGAGCCAATGTGAATTAAGAGTCAATGCTCTTAGACAGACCTAACTCGGTCTATTTCCATATTTTGTTGTTGCCACCTTTCCCACCAGTGCATGAGCCACATCTGATCATTACCAGTTTGAAAGGGAGCTATGTACATAAGGACATGCAGAGCTCCCTCCAAGGCGAAAGGAATGCTTCATCTGCCCATGCAGTGACCTTCATACTGATGCAGATCATGTGTCAGCTTGGGGACTTGGTGAGGTTGGTCAGTAGCTAGGGCATTGGTACCCAGTGGACAGGGCTAGCTCACTTGTACTGAATGCCGGAAGAGGGACACTGAAGTCCTGCATCCCCATGAAGTGAGCATTGCAGAATGCATAGGAGATACGTGCACCACAATAGCCCCACACAGGCAGTCTACTTCTGGGTAAAATCAGCCTGCAGTGAGGGAGGGAGGCTGTGCATGCAAGATCTCCCTTCCCCCAACACTGTCCCCACAGCCCCCCATGAGTTGGAGTAATATCCCCCACACGTTATAGGCAGTGATGGACACCAACTTGGATGGCTTGAAAAGAGGATTAAACAAATTCATGGAAGATAAGGCTGTATAGATGGCTGCTGATCTGGATGGCTATGGTTTACCTACACCTACACAGTGGCAGTATGAGTTTGAGTGCCAGCTGAGGGAAACCACAGGAGGGGTGAGTGCTCTTGAGCTTGACTCCAGGTTGCAGGCTGTCCACAGGATGCTGAACTCAATGGACTACTGGTGGGTTCTTCTTGCATTCTAATGACACAGAGCCTTGCTTTTTCAGGTTTCTAAATAGCATGAGGAGCTTACACAAGAACAGCAGGCTCCTCTCTGCAATGGTCCTTCTTCCAGCTCATGGAGGGTGGTGGGAACAGTAGTGGTGGAGCCACTCTTCCACACATGTTACTTTTACCCAAGAATAAAACACCTAACAGAACCAATGTTTCCGCTGTTTCACTTGTTACACTTGCAGAACTCTAGAAGTTCATTCTCGCACTGGCTGAGTAACATGAGGCTCCTTAGGCTCACTGCATCTGCCCTTCCCAGTTTCTAGGACTTGTCTGGTTGATGTACAGAGGAGCTGGAACATAGATCCCATGGTTCAAGGTTTACTGCATTACATAGGTGGTGGAGGAACAAAAATGCAGCAGCTTCCTCCATGTTAAAACACCATGGCCTAGCCAGGGGGTGGGCAGTGCATCTGTGTCTTATTATTGTAGCTCACCTATGCAGATTCTGGCTGGCACTGAGGACTGGCTTATCCAGAATGACACCCAGGAGAGGACAACCAGCAAGCTGGATGGTACATATGTTTCAAGGATAAAATACAGAATGTTCCTCTTGAGCTCAAAATGGAAGACTAACTTTGGATAGTGCCCTGTGTAGTGAATAAAGAGAGAGATGCAATAAGTCATTTAGATTTCTTGACAATTTCTTCTTCATGTGCAAGTTTAAATAAAGCTTCAGATCAAATCTTTATTATTATGACCAGCATTAAGAAAACAAGGTAAGAAGCACACAGAACACATTATTTTAAAGCTTCGCAATTTTTTAAAGCACACAATTACCAACTTGCTAGTTCACCCGTCATACTTATATCTAATTTCTATTTAGTGTTTGCCCATCACTCTAAGCCAAACCATGGCTTAGTGCATATGTGTGAATTGGCTGGCCTCTGAAGAGGAGGCAGAATTCACTTTGCTTCTCCCCATGCTTTTCAGGTGGGTGAAACATGGCAGCTAACCCAAAGTTTGGCTTAGCGTGTCTTCCAAACCTGAGATGGTCTCCTCCTTAACCACAACTTGGCTACGCTGCCAGGGGTGTCACGGTGATCCACCCAGGTTGTCAGGGCGGCGTACCTCTCCTCACAAACAATCCTCTCCAGAGACTTCTGGCATTTTACAGTGGTACCTCGGGTTACATACGCTTCAGGTTACAGACTATGCTAACCCAGAAATAGTACCTCAAGGTTAAGAACTTTGCTTCAGGATGAGAACAGAAATTGCATGGTGGCTGCGCAGCAGCAGCAGCGGGAGGCCCCATTAGCTAAAGTGTTAAGAACAGTTTCAGGTTAAGAACGGACCTCCAGAACGAATTAAGTTCTTTACCCAAGGTACCACTGTAATGGTCTTTATTTACAATATTTACAATGGTCATCAAGAGTTCATTATCATTCATCAGAGTCACTCAGTTCATGCACTGGTAGAGGTATCTTCTTATGCCGCCAACACCTCACAAAATGCGGGAATTTATCCCGCCTTTCAAGTCTCCTCTTGTCCAGAGCCTTGTAAGAGCCATCTAAATCTCTTGCCAGTCTCTGATCCAGAACTTAACCCTTGCTGTCCCTGTGGAGCTGTTGGCTCGCTTTCAGCCTCTTCCTGTCTCTCTCCCTCTGAAGACACTGCCCTTCCTTCGCTAGCTCCTCCAGCTCCCTCTCCCTCAGGCACAGCGTCCTCTTCTTCTACCCTGAAGTTCTCTCCCACATCCGGGGAACTCGAATGTACTGACTCAGCCCTGACACAGGGGAATGCCGCAGTGAGCTGCCCACAGAGTCTGCCTGGCAGACGCAAGCCCCATGCTGCCATTTTGGGCACCGCATAACTCCCAGGAAAGACATGTGGCTTGGGCCAGGCCTACAATAAGTGCCGCCCCACGCGGTGTGCCATTTTGTCACCCCCTCAGGGATGACACCCAGGGCAGATGGCACCCACCCTTCCTATGCCCCTGTAAGCTGCCTAAAAGCCTGGAGATACATCAAAGCAGGTACACGTTGCTCCTCTGGGGCCTATGTCTGCTCAAGGAAGGACCACCACCCTGCAAATTTCATCTGATTGTAAAAAAACAAATGTGAAATGTGAAATAAGATTTGCCTACTGAAATTAATGGGAAATGATTTAAATAAATAAATAAAACCTTCCCCCCCCCTCTCTCCCCCATTCCAATCAGGCACACAGTGAAGAAAATAGCTGGGGAAAAAGCATGGAAGTTAATCAAGCCACCAAAGGAAACAATGAAATGAATTGATATTATTTGCACATCCTTATATTTTTTTTTAAAATCCTGGCTATATTTCATTTATTGTTAGAAAATATAATCCTATATAAATGAGAACAATGGCCTGCACTTTGCTTTTCTTTGCGTTGTTTACATATTCTCTCCCTGAAACATTCAGAAGTGAACATGTATTTTATTTTCTGATGAGCGAACAGGTTCTGCTTTCTCTCTGGGCAGAACAGCAATATGGAATCATTAGCCTTCTTTGAGCACGATGGCTAGCCAGCAGCGGAAGCAGTGAGGAAAGCAAGCAGATGCCACTTATGTAAGAAGCAAGATACTGTCTGAACATGAAGTCTGCTAGTGGAGATCTGTATTTTTATACCTATTTATAGGCATTTGCTGTTTTAATGTGAGTTAGGACTTCAAGTCATGATGTTTCCTTAGTCAATGATGCTCTCAAATAAAAATCTTTAGTGGAAGGCAAAAGATTTATACGACCTGAGCAGAAACCAGAATATAAAATAAAAATGGCACAATGCACGTTGATTGAAACTTAAATGCAGAAGCATCTTATTGAGTTGTGAATCACAAATGTAATAGCTGGGATGGTATGTAAAAGAAGCTCTGTCTTCTGTGGAAGAGCAAATGTGTGCAGCATCCAGAAGGAAAATAATAATAATAATAATTCAGTGCTTCGGACTGTTCTTATCACACTGAGGCATGCAATCGGGGGGGGGGGGGGAGTGGACCTGAAAGCCTTCAACTATGAGAACCAGGATTTGCAGAAGATGCAGCTCAGAGAACCTATTAATGGTTCCATCATCTGCCAGAGTAGCAGGCCCTGCAGGGAGAACATTCTTGGTGGTGGCCCCCAGAGGATAGAATCAGCTGCCTGCCGAATCTCACCAATTTCAGCATTTAAATGAGCTTTAAAGACATGTTTAGCTTCTATTGTTTAATGTGCTTTATTTATTTCAATTAGTTTTACTGGTTTGGGGGTTTTTGGTTTTTTGGGAAGGTATTCTTCTTGGCTTGAAAGTTTTGTACAGATGTTCTCTGCTAACAGAGACTGTAATCCTGTATACATTTACTTGGGAGTAAGCCCCCTTGAACTCAGCAGGACACCTGAGTGGGCTTGCATAGAATTCAGAAGACTTGGTATACAATAAAGGTTTTTAGTCAAGCAGTCAAGGTCCAGCAGCACAGCCAAGTTTTTTAAATTCATCATCATCATCCTCCTAAATTTCTTTAATAAACTCAAGGTGGCATATAAAGGATTCCCATCCAGTCTACCATCCAGACACTGGCCAGATCCAAACCTGCTTGGATTCAGGAGGAGTATCTCACTATTAAAGTATTTTACTATTATATTTTTATTCTGTTTTAATGCTGTGACATCTGTTAATTGCTGTGTTTTATATGCTGTTGGCCATTCTGGGTTCTTCTTCTTCTTCTTTTTTAAGGTATAGAATATGAGAAAGAAAGTAAGCATCATCATCTGCCTTCAGACCATTCCCAGCTAGCTTTATTGAAGTGAACTGGAAAGACAGAAAGGTCAGGAAGTAAGTAGGATTTTATGACTGTAAATGAACTCTTGAAGAGTTACCTACCTGTTTCATAGACAGCTTCAGAACTAGAGGTATAGTGGTCTTCTACTGTGTATTGTGCCAATCGAAGGGTTTCTAAGCCTTTAACAGAATCATTTCCCCTTGTCCAGTAAAACATGACATCATTTATGTTATAACCCCCTGGGAATAGAAGAAGAGAGGAATTTTACTAAATATAGAAAATGTGTTTGTGTCCATATATGTATATGTCTTCTATTTTCTGGCAAAGCTTCTGTTAATTTCACTTCATTTACTGGTTTCCCAGAGAATCCTAGACTTTAGGATTTTAGTAAATGCCTAGGAAATACACAACAGGAAAACAAAAATCAAGAAATAGACCTCAGCTTCTAAATATTCCATGCTTCACACAGCTGCACAACAAATTGTTTCCATTTTTAAATCCAAAATTCATCTTCACAGCTTAAACTCCCCATCCCTCACCTTAAATGGAGATATTTCATTTAAAGACCATCTGAAAAAGCTTGTGTGGCTATCTGTCTAAATTCACATATGAATGCAACATTCACTTAGTAATAATATAACTAAACTTAAAATGCACAGATCCAGAGGTCGGTTTACACTTCTTTTTAATACGTGTAAAATCATACAGGCTGGCACTCTGCACGGTAAGAAAGGGTAAATCTAAAAATCCCCCTCCCATATGAATTGGCTACAGTGGCGTAGCGTGGGGGGTGCAGGGGGGGCCGGCTGCACCAGGCGCAACATCTGGGGTTAGGGCAAATCCACAGGTTAGGGGGCGCAAATCCACGGGTTAGGGGGCGCAAATTACTTGCCTTGCCCCGGGTGCTGACAACCCACGCTACGCCACTGATCGGCTAGAATGCTAGTGTCTCTTCACCAACAAAACAGCTACACGGGGGGGGGGGTGTTCTGCTGGTGTTATCAGTGTATGTTTTATGCTGGAGGCATGCCTTGAGTTCTGGGGGCAAATCATGACTTCTGTCAAATCCTGAATATAGGATTGCTCTGCTAGTAACTTTGTGAAGTGAAGAAAGGTAGGCTCCTGTGCTGACAATGCAAACACTATGTTGTGAGCGAAGGGCTGGGCAAGTACGTCCATTTTGGTTTCTCTTAGTTTCTCACTTTCCCAATCTTAAATTTGGTTCTCCACATTTCTACATCAGAGTACAACTTTTTAGAATATATATATATTCTAAAGATGGCTTTAAAGACAACTAAGTGCTTTAAAGATGGCTTTAAAGACAACTAAGTGCAGTACAGCCATCTTCTCAAAAAACTTTTCACAAAGTTCAAGAGGTCAAGACACGAAGGCTTGAGCAACTAATCCACACCTAATGACCCACCTAAGTGGTACTCAGAATATCACTCAAGAAATCACTCAAGATACCCCTCAAGTAATTAAGGAACAAAAGAAGAAAAGGCACACTAGCCTGGGAACTTCCTCTCTGCCCAGAACATTGGAGGCTATACACCACACCCCCTCAACAGTATTTATAGGAACTCAAACACTGAGATCCTGCTCTGTTCCAGTAACAAGAAGCCGAAAGCACCAGCCTGAAGATGACGAGTGAGACCTCGTCGAAACGTCGCCTAGACACCCCAACTTTTACACGGGAAGACACCCGAGGACACCAAAACCTGCATTCCTGTACCCGTGAAAATCTACGAAAGCATATATATATATATATATATATCCTGATGAAAATTCATCAGCATTTTAGTGGGAATGCCTCGTATACACATTTTTGCAAAGTGTTCTCCCCCCCCCCAAAAAAAATAGAATGTGGTTTTGTATGTTATTTTCACTAATGCATGCATTTATACACACACCTTACCCCAGTATATATAGACTTGAACACATTACTTGGCTTGAGAACTGCATTGCAAAATTTGGAGAGGCACAACTTTCAAAAGATGGCTCTGTTTCAGTTCTGCATTGTTTCAGAAAGTGTGACTCATGTAAGTTCACCTGTAAACGTGAACTAAACGGAAATTCTTCCCCCATTGTGATGTGAGAGTTGATCCTGTAAAGTTCACAGTGAAATACTTCCCACTGAAAGCTATCCATTCAGGCAACTGCAATGGAGGTCATATTGTTATATTGGCCTCTGAAAATACTGCCCAGTCTTCACACATTTCCCTGCAGTGTATATACAAACGGTTGCTGCAGCAAATGTTAGTTATGAACACGAATACCAATACTGCTGCTTGGTGTCCTGCGATGTATACTGAGGTCTGCAGCACAATGACATTTACGCTGATGTGCGAAACAGCTTGAAGTGTCACATCAAACAGATTATAAAATGTTTCAGTTTCAGCCCGCCTGCCCACCCAACTGTGCAAATAGCCAAAGGAGAGCAAAGAATTTCCCTGAAGCCCCGGAAGACTAAAGAGAGCGCTACTCATCCATTTGGCTTCAGTAAGCCCCCTCTGCATTCTAAAGAGCAAGGGAAAGCTGAATAATGAGGGGATTTACAGGATATTCTGCTGCGAAAATAAATACTGATTTGTAATTTTATTAATTCCCTTTGTGGCTGCAAAGGCGATTTTAGGCACACAAGCAATGTGAAATTCCTTCTTTTCAGAACTCTCCTTGGAAAAGGCAGGAGACAGGTGTCAGGCTACTAGAATCCAAAGAATTGGCTAGTTGGTGCAAATCAGTACATGGGATAGCCAAACCTCATTTCCCCGCCCCGGCACTTCCATCTTTTCAGGGTTCAGCCTCAGTATATTCACCCCATCCAGTCAATCACTGCTGCCAAACTCCAACACCTCCACAGTCTCTTCTGATTCCAATGGAATGGAGAGCTAGAACTGTGTGCCATTAGCTTACTGGTGACCCTGCGCTCCAAATTAAGCCCCTGTTCCATGGCTCCCTCTCTCAATATCTCCTCCTTGCCTCATTATCCTATTTCCTCTGCCCATTTTAAATAAATGAGTTATTAGAGCAGACTTAGGAATAGCATTCCATTCCTTCACAAAGTTTCCAGAATTTAAGTGGCTATCTGGCCAGGCAAACTTCTAAAATATTTTTATATTTATATCACCCCTCCTTTCAGCTTCCCATTTCTCTGCCTGTTCCCTGTGCCATAGTATTGTTAAGGTTCTATTTTAATTGTTGTATCCCGGCCAGGGACCTTAGGGTGAAGGGTGGGGAAATCATTGCCATCATCTCTTGCCCCGAGGATTGTTGCTGGCATATATCTGTGTCAGGAGACAATGGAGGAGTGAGCCTTTGTCAGTGAAATCAACCTGTTGTAAGGTTACAGCACCTGTTGTGGCTGCAGAGACCGATACAGGAGAGATATGTTTTGTTACAGCCGGGGCAGATGAAGGCATCTGGTTGCCCTGCTGCAGATGCACCATTGCATTTCTCCTCTCTGCACTCCTCCCAGTGGCCATTCCTCCTCTGGTCACTGCTATGGATGCATGACCTGACTGTCTCCAGGCACTGCAGTCATCTACAAGGGATTTCCACACAGTGAGGTTGATGTTGCCAACCTTTGTGTCATGTTTGCAGACATCTTTGGAATGCAGAGTTGATCTGCCAACAGGCCTGGTGCTTGAAGCCAGCTCCCTGTGGAGCACATCCTTGAAGGAAATCCTGCCATCTTCCATTCTGTGGACCTGACCAAGCCAGTGTAGATTATGCTGAACCTCTTCCATGTTGGTCTGTCCCCTGGCTACTTCCGTCCTTTCCACCTGTTAATCGCTGCTAAACCAACCGTTTGCTCGTCCTTCACAGAAGCTACACTGAAGATATTCTGACAACTCTGATCTCTGAGAAGCCAGCATGTCCATGCACATTCTGTGCCATAAACCCAGTTCAGATAATTGGTGTCAGAAGCTTTCCTTCCAGCTAAGGTTGTGTCTGCATGGGAATCTCCTGCTGTTTAATGTGTATGGCCTTTAAGTTCTAGAATGTCATGAACTGGCAGGATGGCAGTGAGGAGGAAGAGGATCCTGGCGAGGGGGGTAGCCGGGACTAGGACACACCAGGGCAAGCTGGGAATGGAGAAGGCAGTACTCACAGGGTGACAGATGGTGAGGGCATGTAGGACAGTATACAGTAACCAGAGCGGCAGGACCCATCCTCAGAGCCAGAGGGCCCCCTGCCCCCATGAACATGGTGGCCTCTGAGGGATAGTGAACAGCAGGAGTGGTGCTCTAGGAGGCTGAGGCAGGCAAGGGCCCATTGCCCAGCTCCCTAGCTGGCCAGGTGGAGCTCGTTGGCTCTGGAAGGAGGGATGTGATTTCTCAGCTGGAGTAGACTCTGAGCAGGTGAGGGTCACATGCCTCATCAACCCCAGATGCTTCAATCAGCCTGCAAAGTATGAAAAGGAAGCAGAGCTGAGGTGCTGTGCTGTGTCTGCTCAACTGCCCTTGTTGATGGACTTTGGCCTGGATGCTCCTGGGCCTCTGCAGGACTATGCTTTGAATTTGACTCTGGGAGGTCTCCTGAGTGGGGGACCTCAGACTTCCCTACTTGGATTGAGCCTGGACTGCATTTCCTGGACTTTGGGCTTTGCTTGTATGGTTGACCCCCGGGCTTTGGACTTTGGACTGGACATACTGACTTGTGGACAGGTAGGCCCAGGGGTTCAGGACATAGAAGGAAGGAGTATTTTGGAGCAGAACATACTCAGTGATTTTTGTTGCTGCTGTTAGAAGGGCTTCCTAGTTTCTTTCTCTTCACACTGGTGGAATTTCAGACCCATCTTATTTTTATAGCTTAAAAGCCTGTTTCAGGTTAACTAAATATTTAGAAATGAAAAGGGGTGGGAGAATATTTTTCTGCACCTGTTTGTGTGGGCACACTGTCAAGTGTGTATTTTATTTATGCACACACACACTGGTGGCTTTCCCTTCCATGTTCTATTCTATCACCACCGCCTTACCTGCTGCTTAAGGAAGAAAGAGAACTCTCTACAAATCCAGTGTGAAAGGTATGGAGACAATGATGCCATCTGGACACTGATTGCAATGATACCTATTCCATTGCTTCTAGTATCTAAAGAAGATGAATGGTATACTATTGAGGCTTTTGCAGGGATAATTATAATTTGTGTGTGTTACAAATCTGTTACACCTGCAACAGATCTTGTAATCAAGAGTGTTATAGTTATTGATAGTATAAATGTGCATATTTTTTAAAAAAA